GCACGCACGCACGCACGCACGCACGCACGCACGCACGCACGCACGCACGCACGCACGCACGCACGCACGCACGCACTAATTTAATCATATTCGTGAATTATGAGTGATGTTCAGCAGCTAGTGGTTTTTTTCTGAATAGTCAAAGCTATAAGTTACAATGAATTGTAAAATACGTATTGTGCAAGCTTCTTTAACAGGTCAAATTTTTTCAAATCTGTTTCAAAAATGCAGTGAGATTTTGCATTAAAATTTGCTGTTGACCAATGTTAATTTTGTGTGTACCAGACCTTCGAGGAAAATGAAAGGTGCTTCTTGTATTTCTCAGAGCAAGGACACACAATTGATTGCGAATGCTAACCGACACAAGATGAGTTGTAGCTGATGTCAAATCAGCACATTCCCTTTGACCATTTCAAAGAGCCATCTGGGTCAGCAGTCAAGAAACTAATCGACTGCAGGACAGGCTGAAGAGAGAGACTGAACAAAAAATGTTTTATTAACCATTAGAGTCAGAAAGAAGTTTGATTTTGGTCAAGTCATATGGTAGTGAAAAAAAACAAAAAAAAAACGAAAAGAAAAAGTCTACAAGCGAGCAAATATCAGTAAAAGGGCTTTGGAGCGCTTCTTCTGAAAGGGGAACAGGTCAAATGTGAAATGGTAAAGCACAAAGAAGCACATGTAACTACCAATAAAGACATTTCACATCCAATACTATATTTGTGAAATGGGATTTTATGCAGGGCAGCATGGTCGACTGGTTAGCACGTCCACCTCACAGTGCAGAGTTCATGGGTTCGATTCCGGATCCGGCCTTCCTGTGTGGAGTTTGTATGTTCTCCTGCATGGGTTTTCTCCAGGGTCTGTGGTTTCCTCCCACATTCCAAAGACATGCGTGGTAGGGTGATTAAACGGCTCTAAATTGTCCCTAGGTGTGAGTGAGAATGTTTTTATTTGTCGATGTGTGCCCCGCGATTGGCTGGCAACCAGTTCAGAGTGTACCCCGCCTACTGCCCGAAGCCAGCACGGATAGGCTCCAACATGCCCGCAACCCTGGTGAGGATGAGCGGCTCGGATCATGGATGGATGGATTACAGCCTCTCAACAGTAAATATTCCCAGATTTCTTTAGTCCTCTATTTAAAAAAAAAAGAAAAAAGAAGAGCGGTTCACAGCGGCAGTGGCTGGTGAATGCAGCCAGCTCCATGGTCCATTAAACAAGTGCAAACGTTCCATTATGGTCACTTAATGGACAAAAACTGGAACCGATTGTCACCAAAATGTATTTGCAAATGTATACACAGGTCCAGATGATACTCTGAATAAATTACAATGGAACTCAAAATATGTTTTATTCTATTAACTGAAGGTTGCCTCTTGTACAATTACCTCGAAGCAAAAAAACCCAAAACAAAACACTACATCCATGACTGACTCACCAAAATTGACTGTAAATTATATGAACTTCATATGGCCCTCATATGCATGTGAATAATATAATTGTTAATATAATATAATTGTTAATATCATCCAAAATATTCCGAGTTTCATTCTAATATTTTCGGACTATGATTTGCCCATGCATGTACATGTGCACATAAATGTTGGTGACAATCGGTTTCAGTTTTTGTCCATTAAGTCAGGGGTCCCCAACCGCCGGTCCGCGGACCGGTACCAGTCCGCAGGGCATTTGGTACCGGGCCGCACAGAAAGAACTTGTCTTATTTCCGTTTTATTTATTTCGGAATACGAAAGATGTTTTATTTTGAAAAATTACCGGATTCTCCGTTACATCCGTCTGTGTCACGCTTGACTCACGTCAAGCCACGCTTCTC